TACACTGGACTTTACATCTGATATCTGATCACAGTCTCTAATTCCATGCTCTTTATGTAAACATCCAATTCCCCCAACACAGTTTAATGAAATGATGCCTTTTCATTGTGCTTGGTACCAATGCCTAAAATGAGCTATGTGAGGACTAGTGCCTCTATTTCCAGAATGTCAGTTGTGTTCCTAGTGTGTGTGTTATTTAGTCACAGTTCCATGCTGTTTTAGGTATTATTGCTGCTCCCTAACTTTTGAGATGAGGTCTGTTGTTGTCTCCAACTTTGTTATTATCCTCGGGATTCCTTTGGTCATCCTGAGCCCTTTCTCTTTCTGCGTGGATTTTAGCATTGTTTTCTTGCTATTTCTGTGCAGAATGTCCTGTGATTTTCATGGAATGTGCATAGAGTCTGTCAAAGTCTTTGGGGCAGCGTGGATATTTGAACAATGTCAAGTCTTTAAACGCATGGACATGGCTGCCTCTCCACTTTTGTGTGCTTTCTCCCATAATCAGCTGTAGAATGCTCGCTGCAGACATCCATCATTGCTTGGTTAAATTTACTGACGGATACTTTATGTTCTTGGAGCTCTTGTGAATGTGGCTTGTTATTAGTGAGTTAAGAGGTCTGTGCATGGATTTGGCACCAAGCCATGTTGCTGAATATTTTTGTCATTTATAGCAGATTCTGGATGGAATTTGTACATGGTCCTGTATTTGACGTCACACCATGTGCAAGCAGGGATAATCTGATTCCTCCTTTCTTACTTGGTACTCTTTATTCTTTGTCTCGTCTAGATGCTGTGACTGAGACATCGGGATGATCATGAACATGAGTGGGGAAGGTGGACGTCCCTGTCTTGGTCCACATCTTAGTGGACAGGCATTTAGCTTGCTCCATTCAGTCAGGTGCTGTCTTTGGGGTTGTCACGTGTCATCCTTGCAGCTCAGTTTGCTGAAATGTTCATCATGCAGAGATGTGGAATTGTGTTGAGTGCCTTCTGCATTGTTGAGATGACCATACACTTTCTCTCCCCCATTCTGGTGATGTGACATTTTACATTTACTGACTCATCCCTGGTGAATCCACTTTGCACCTCAGGGATAAATCCCCCGTGATCATGGTGAATCTTGGATGTGCCGAATGACTACACTGCAAGTATTTATGACGACTCTTCAGTTTCTAACCTTCTTGCTCTGCATACAGATGACGCGTCTTTGGCCCCCAAAACGCAGGCAGTAGGAGAGCCAGCAGGCACCTGAACACTTCGCCCTGGTGCAGCTCCTTCCTGGGAATCAGCACCTCAGATGAGACATAGCGCCACGAGGGGCTGCCAGGGGAGCTCTGGCCCGGTTCCAGGAGCACCAGAGCCCAAGCAGGAACAGCATGACCGATCCCTCTGCCAGCACCATGGCCCAGCTCAGGGACATGTGTCCGAGGAGCCGGCTTAGAGGGAGTATCTGCAGAGAACCAGATCTGAACCATCTGTTGTGGCCTCCTCTGCCAGGGGACAGTGATAAGGACAAAGGGCCTCCCTAGGCTTCCAGCAGCTGAGGGAGTTGGGTAATGGAAGCAAGGCATGGCAGGGGTGGGCATTATGTCATCTTAGCTCCAGGGGGCTGGGGTCAAATGGCACACTGGGGAGTGTTCATCTGGAGGGGAAAAGGCACAGGGAAGCAGGGCTGGGCCTCCACCTGATCTGTTCCGTCTCCTCTCTGGCTTTTTGAATACGAGGAATGTATTTACCACATTGCAGCCACCAGTCTGAAGAAGGAGGAGGCCCAGGAGCTCCCCGATCTCTCAGCGACCATTGGAACCCCCACAGAAGCCCTGCAACAGCTGGCAGTGGGGAGCCGCAGTCACAAGAAAATGCAACAACAGCTGCAGAAACTGCTGCATCTTTCTGCCTCATGAGATGTGTCACGTGTGTCACACGTGTGTGGACACGTATGCCGCGTCTCTGTGGCTAAGAAAATAAGCTGGTGATTCTACTGGGTGAACTGAAGTACAGGCAACTTTAAATGTGTTAACAAGTTATAGTGCCAGGGCCTGCTGGCCTAGCAGGACTGTAATTGTCAGGGGCTGGCGCTGTGGTACAGCCAGTAAAGCCACACTGCCTGCAGTGCCAGCATCCCGTATGGGCACCAGTTCCAGTCCCAGCTGCTCCACTTCCGATACAACTCCCTGCTAATGTGTCTGGGAAAGCAACAGAAGATAGTCCAAGTGCTTGGGCCTTTGCACCCACGTGGGAGACCCGGAAGAAGCTTCTGGGTTCAGACTGGCCCAGCTCTGGTCATTGTGGCCATTTGGGGAGTGAATCAGATCTCTCTCTCTCTCGCTCTCTCTCTCTCTCTCTCTCTCACTCTGTGTGTGTGTGTGTGTGTGTGTGTCCCTCTCTGTAACTCTGCCTTTAAAATAAATAAATCTTTAAAAATTGTCTCTTGGATGGTTAGCCTCATAAAAGCACAGATTTGGCCTGAGATCAGGCAGCTGTTCTGTGCACCACGCATGACAACTTTCTGACTTTTCAGTGGTGACTGTGCCTGGCCACCAGCTCAGTTCTCAAGGGTAACCCAAGCCAGAGTCAAACACATGAAGGTGAATGCTAGCAAACATTTTAATGCTTTTGATATCTTTCTTGGGTTTTCCGAGAATCAACCTTTCAAATTAATTCCTTTGACTTTGGGATTTGCAACTGGATCTGTGGAAATCCTCAGGAAATGTAGCTCTCATCTGGCAGAGATAACATAATTTGGCTTACTTGGATTGCAAGGTTCTCTCAAAGTGTGAATCGTAGGCGGCAGCTACACTTACATGGTTGTTATTGACGTCGTCCGTCACGATTGTTTTCTTGGTAGAAAAAGGGACTCTGGAAGCAGAGGGCCTGCCCATCACAGGCCCAGAGCCACAAGGATGGGGGGTTCACAGAGCCTCTGCGCCTTTAGGGTGCTGTGTGCCATGAGAGCAGTAAGTCTCCTCGCTAACGGCTGACATCCAAATTTTAATCACGATGATGTGAACACTTTTCTCAGCCGCAGCTTTGATTCTCCTCTAGAAACCATCAATGGCATCCGGGTTTGAATCGTGATGGTTCTAAGGCTTCTGTCACCCATGGCTCTGATTCTTCTCTAGAAACAACCAAAGAAGAGTCCAGCAAATGTTTGTAAATGCAGGTTTCTAATTTAAAAATCAGTGTTGAAGAATTCTGATATGGAAACTGATAATGGAGCTCAAATAAAACTAAAAATATAATTACCTAAGACTCAAGAAAGTGATCAAGTTTGTGGGCCTCTATGTCTTTTACTTAAGAAATTGGTGGCTCTATATTCAAATGCATCGTCTTCTGGGCTGAAATATTTTCTGAGATTTGCAGGGTTTGCATCACTTTGGTAGTATAACACGCCTGCTGTTAGGTTGCAGCACTTCTCATTGTTTTTAAGATACAAGCCGGGTTTGTCATGCTTACGTTCCACAGAAGTACAGTTCCCAACAAGACAGCGCTGGCCTGGCACTCTGAGAACTGATAAACTTCATTTTAACAATGGACTCCGGATAAGCATAACCTGAGGACCCTTCCTCTTTATTGGTTAAAATGTGGATAAAAGTAGTTTTTGATACTGACTGTTAGCTGTCAATCAGCTGCCACCCAACATGGGACCAAATCAGACCAACAACCAAGACCAAGGCCATCCTGTCAAAAGGGACAAACAGAACCCAGCTACAAGTGACTGATTAGCAATGATTTTTCCATAAAAGAGGTCACAAGAGGAAAATATATAAGTTAAGAGGGGCTGGCACCGTGGCTCACTTGGTTAATCCTCTGCCTGCAGCACTGGCATCCCATATGGGCGCTGGGTTCTAGTCCCGGTTGCTCCTCTTCCAGTCCAGTTCTCTGCTGTGGCCCAGGAGGGCAGTGGAGGATGGCCCAGTTGCTTGGGTCCTGCACCCACATGGGAGACCAGGAAGAAGCACCTGGCTCCTGGCTTTGGATCGGCACAGCGCCGGCTGTAGCAGCCATTTGGGGTGGGGGTGAACCAACGGAATGAAGACCTTTCTCTCTGTCTCTCTCTCACTATCTATATCTCTCTACCTGTCTCTCTCTCTCTCTCTATATATATATATATATATATACATAAAGTTGAGAGGTTATAAAGAAAGTGTTAGCCGGCGCCGCGGCTCAGTAGGCTAATCCTCCGCCTTGTGGCGCTGGCACACCAGGTTCTAGTCCCGGTCAGGGCACCGGATTCTGTCCCGGTTGCCCCTCTTCCAGGCCAGCTCTCTGCTGTGGCCAGGGAGTGCAGTGGAGGATGGCCCAAGTGCTTGGGCCCTGCACCCCATGGGAGAACAGGAGAAGCACCTGGCTCCTGCCTTCGGATAGGCGCGGTGCGCCGGCCACGGCGGCCATTGGAGGGTGAACCAACAGCAAAAGAAGACCTTTCCCTCTGTCTCTCACTCTCACTGTCCACTCTGCCTGTCAAAAAAAAAAGTGTTCTTATGCATGGTTGTCTGATAGCAACTGTCACAAAATTCTGCCAAGGCTGCAGCCTCTACAGAGAGCCACCACTGAGTTAGAGAAACGTACTAACTAGATGTGACTGTGGTATCTAACAGAACAGGATGAGGTGCGTGTGTTGGCCTGTGCTTCCTGCTCTGCTCAGGTTAACTCTCTTTCCCAAAGATAAATATTAATAAAACCTGGGTAGCCATCTGGCTCCTACAGACTCTAGATCTCAAATGCCCTCTTCCAAGGAGCTTGACAGGTTTTCAGGTTATTCTTCTGGATGCCGCCTAATAGCAGGCCCGGTTTCATGACGAGCCATCCACAACATAAGTAAGGATAAAATCAGAGTAACATTGAATATCTCACATTACCAGTCCCAGGGCATGTTATTCACAGTGAACACGGCAACAGAAGTTAGGCTGTTTATGGAAAACAGTTGAATGTAGACATTCGTACATAATAATAGGAATCTACAGGCGATGATTTTTAAATTTTCATTTTATTTGAAAGAGACATAAAGGCAGAGAGAGAGAGAAATTTTATACCCACAATTCCCTCCCCACATGCTCACAACAGCCAAGAGTGAGCAAACCAAAAGACAGGAGCCTAGAAGTCAGCCCAGATTTCCCGTATTGGCAAGGAGGACCCAGAGTTTGAGCCAATACTCATTGTCTCCCAGGGTACACATCGGTGAAAAGCAGGAACAGAATCAGAGAGGCCGAGACTGAACCAGGACGCAGGTGTCCCAAGCAGCATCCTGACCTTTGTGTCACACTACTCACTCCCCTGACCCCCAACTTGCAGGAAATGACCAGGGGCTCCCAGGACCCCCAGAGGGAGCTCAGGAATCACTAAGCCCAGGCCCACCTCAGGGCAAGCTGTGGTCACTGGAGGAGAGGTCTGCGTCTTGGCAAAAGTGCAGTTGCTTCTGCTTGATGGATAAGCTGCCCTCCTTGATAGATAAGCTGCTTTCTCTCTTGAAACCCCAGATCTCAGGCTGCAAGAGGACTGGAGTTGAGATTCTTCTGCCTCTGCAGTTCCTGCGAAGAAGTCGCCTAGCACCCCTGAGAAATGCTTGCTTCCCCTGGAGAAGAAGCATTCATTCAAACCTGCAAATGCCTTGGAGGGGCTCAGGGTAGGGCTTGGGCGAAGCTGGACACAGGACAACCCGGCTCCTGCTCTCCAGAACACACAACCCGCAGACGCTTTGTCTGAGTTGTCAGCACCTAAGCAGCTGCCAAGAGCTGGCGTTCGAAAGCAGTCGGGTCTGAGCATTTGCCCTACATTTTGGGATTAAGGTTCATGAAGGACAGCTGTGGTCAGTGTCCTTGGGTGCCAGGAGGACAATGGCCTGACCTATTCTCTCAGCAGACCTGAAATTTGAGCAGCCCGTCATGTGCACGGATCCATCCGGAAACCGGAAGAAGGGACATCCACATGGCGGGGATACAAAGGCTGAGTCTCTGAGGGAGGAGCCTGCTTGCACCTGCTGCTCACCACTTACCTGGCTTTCTGCTCCCTCCATGTTTCTGGGGCGGTCTCAAGTGGGCTTACTCCCCACAGTGCATTGTAAAATGCTCCAACCATAGTGGAAGGATAATGGGGCTTCCCCAAAAGCAAAAGTACTGCAGTGTCACCCAGCACTTCCATCTCTAGGTCCATACTCAGGATGAGTGAATGCAGGCAGGTCTTTGAAAAGAAGCACAGGGAACTTAGTGGCGTAAAAAAAGATAATCTTTTCAACAGAGAGTATTAAAACAACAACAAACAAGAAAAACCATTAAAACGCTATGATTTCTACAGAGATCAACTCAAAATGGATCACACACCTCTTGTGCAACACACATCAACACAATTTCTAGAGGAAGCCGTGGAGAAAATCCTGGGTGTCCTTTAGTTCCCTTTAAGGTCTTAGCTACAACCCCAACATACCCTTTATAAAGGAAAAAATATGAATAAATGCAACTTCCTTATTATTCCAAGCTTCAGCGTGTGAATGACACTGTGATGGAAACAGAAGGAGGGGAAGGACACATCTCAAGAAGCACTTGCGCCCAGAGCTTAGGAAGACTAGGGCCCACAGTGTGGCGTAGCAGGTAAAGCCGCTGCTTGCAGCCCCGGCATTCCATAGGGGTGCTGTTCAAGTCCCGGCTGCTCCATTTCCAATCCAGCCCTCTACTATGGCCTGGGAAAGCAGTAGAAGATGGCCCAAGTGCTTGGCCCCTGCACCCACGTGGGAGACCAGAAGAAGCTCCTGGCTCCTGGCTCCTGGCTCCTGGCTTCAGATTGGCCCAGCTCCAGCTGTTGCAGCCAAATGGGGAGTGAACCAGCGGATGGAAGACCTCTTTCTCTGCATCTCCTCTCTGTGTGTAACTCTGACTTTCAAATAAATAAATAAATCTTTAAAAAAAAAATAACTAAAGTCAGCACTAAGCAATAAGCAGCCCAAGAGAAAACTACAGAAAGCAGGAGAACGACACTTGCAAGAAGATCTCTGTGAAATCCTGCGTCTCCCTTTCCCCTGGCCAACCCACCCCACCCACCAAAGAGAAGAGCAAAGAAAACCAAGATCCATCTCTTTGCTGCCAGGAAAAACATCCACTTCTGGACAGGGAAAGGGAGAGATAAGAAAGCACAGGCGTGGTCTCAAGCTGAGGTCCTCATGCCTGAAGAGATAGGACCACCCCTGAGACCAGCACCCTTCCCAGCCCTCCCAAGACAGTAAAAGAGAGACCACCAGGGAGGCCACTGCAGGAAAGCCCAAGCCCGAACCACGAGATGGCCCTCACCATGGCCAGGGACAGCGCCGTGGGCGGCTTTGCTTCGTGTGCATCCACAGGGAAGGCTCTCCTCCCGTTTCGTGCAGCTAGAATTGAGATGCATGAATACCTTTGCCTGGCGCCTCAGCAGGGACAGGGTTTGGCAATGAGTGACCACAGGGTCAGGAGATCTCACTGAGGATACCCTGGACCCCCGGGCTCCCAGCCAAAGGAGATGGATGGGCAGTTGGAGACCCAGGGAGACTCAAAGTGCTGGATCTGGGTTGGCTGACCTTGTCCCCAGGCTCCGAGCAGCATCTGTTCCACGCCCGCGGTAAGTGGCCTCTGCTCCAGGTCAGACTGTGTGTGTGAGTGCATGGCCACAGTGTCCTCTCTCTGCTAGCACAGGAGAAATTCCTCCCACAGAGGGGAAACAAGATGGAGACATGCAAACAGGGTCAAAGCCACCTGCCTCCGCCCATGTCAGGGGCTCCCTCGTGGGCCTGGTGGGTAGCTTGCAGCTCTATGGAGGGGCCTCCCTACTGTGCAGACTGTAAGGAGGGCCACGTTCCAGTGCCACTGACAAAACAGCAGAGCCAGGAGCAGCCACCAGGTGTGGCCAAGGCCCAGGACACATCCAGAGCCCTGAGGACTCAAGGACAGCAGCCCCCAGTGCTCACTGCTGCGTGTGGATCCAGGGAAACAAAGGAAACCTCCAACTGCCTCTTGGCCTGCCCTGGCCCCTGCATGGACCTGGGGAGCTGCGAGTCCCAGCCCAGGGGAGAGCCCGCAGGTGCACTGCTCAGTGGGGGGTGAGACAGACGAGTCCTGTGTGGAGATTCATGACAGCCAGGGCGGCGTGTGGCATGTACAGTGGCCTGCCCTGTGCTACAGGCCTAACTCCCCCAACCTCAGGGGGAAGGGTGAGCCTTGGAACTGCACAGTGCCACACAGAGCCCAGGGGGCAGCCCTCTGGGGTCAAGACCATCCCTGACAGAGGGCGAGAGGTTGAGGGGCTCGGGGCAAGCCTTCCCCTGAGCCCCACCCAGGGCAGACTCAGGTGGCTGGGACTGCATCAGCCTAGCTTCCCGCTGCCCCCAGGCCGAGTGGGCTGTGATGCCCTCCGTGGGGTACAGGTGCTCCCAGTGCATGGGAAGCAGAGGGAACAGGATCCAGCTGGGATCTGGTGTGGCAGAAGAGGGCCTGGCTCCACCAGCTTGTCCAGGGTAATAGGGCTGAGGGGCCCCCATAGGGTCTGGGTCTTTGTCCTAGGACCTGAGACTGCGCCCTCCCAGGGAGAAGGCATCTTTGCGTGGAGAGATGGCGAACCAACATGAGGAAGTAAAGTAGTCTCAGCATCCCTCTGGATGGGACCACGAGAGACAGCATGGACAGAGGCCCTGTGGAGGCCGGGAGAGGACGTGGACAGTGCAGGCAACTCTCCAGGGCCTACCTGCAACAGCTGGGCCTTGGCCCTGTGGGACTCTCTGACATCCAGAGCCCTCTGTGCCCATGGTGAGGACAGCCACGGCACACTGTGCAGGCCCCGGGAAATGTAACTCAGAGCCAGCACCTGACCCCATACAACTGGCAAAATCTTACCCACACCCAGACCACCTAACCCACATCCACACCACCACCACCCACACCCATGCCACCCTCACGCTCACACCCAACTCAGCTCTCGGCAGCATCTGACCTCTTGCCCCATGGTCAGACACCTGCTAGGGTCAGACTCCCCTTCTACATCCCCTGAGCTGGGGGCTTTGTTTCCGTCAGGCACTGACCTCCTTGGGGCAGTACCACTCCTGAGGGGGACCCTAGGAGTTGGGGAGTTGGCTCTGGTCTCTCCAAGGTGCTGCTGGCTCCCCTCACAGCCTTGGGTCCCATGCCCATGGCTCAACTGCTGGGTGGTCCTTCCCTGTGCTCTGACCACTCACACCTGCCATGGCTGACACGTGCCCTGGGCACATACTCACTGGCTCCAAAACCTGAAAAGGAAGCCAGCCCCTGCACGACTCTGGAAAATGTGAGCTGTGACTCCGTCCAGTGACAGCCACAGAGCAGGAGCTGGGGTCCTGCTCCTGTCCCCGGCTTGGAGGGGCCAACAACAGGACCTGGGCAGCTGATGGACAGAGGGCTTTTACCTTGGGATGTAGGTGTGGAGGCCCGGAGACCCCACCAAGAGCCTCAGGGAAGTGTCCACCCTACTGGAGAGAGGAGAGTCTCCGTGCTGTATCTTGTCCCTGGACAAAGAGTGTGTCCCGGGCTGGTGCAGGGAGCCTGCAGTGAGAGGGGCCAAGACCTCCAGGTGAGGCCAGAGTCAGGAGAGGGCAGCAGAGCTTCAACCCACTGAGGACTGGAGGGGCTGGGCCGGGTGCCAGGGCTGGGTGCCAGGGCTGTGTCACTGACCCACAAACAGAGGCCTGAGAGGCTGAAGCAGAACTCTGTGCGTCTCAGGGCTGAGCCCAAAGACAAGAGCCTTGGACCACCTGGAGAGACCGCGTTGAATAGCAGCTGAGGCCTGCAGTCCTCACCCAGGGAAGGCTGAGTCCCTTGGACGCTGAGGCCCAGGGCTCAGGTCAGGGGCCCTTCTGGGAAGGGTCCCATTTACCAGGATTTCCACTGAAAGACAGCTCATGAGCCTGCCTAGAACAGTGAGTCCAACACAGCCACACAGGAACCTGGAAAAACGCAGACTGCACTTGACACAGAAGTCAACGCCTGGACACAGCAGTGAGAACACAGCCTCAGTGTCCATGCAGGGTGGCCAAGGAGTCTGCAGCAGAGGACCTGGGAGCCTTGAGCTTGGGAGGGGCAAGGACATGACACAGCACTCTCTGCACCCACAGGTCCTGGTCCATAGAATTCTCAGAGGCAGAGTGTCCACAGGGATGAGCAACCTGCCACTGCAAAGACCAGCACTTAGGAGCCAGCACATCACAGCCAGCACACACAGCCCAGCTGCTCAGGAGTCGGCACCTAGGGGCCAGCACCTCACAGCCAGCACACACAGCCCAGCTGCTCAGGGGCCAGCACCTCACAGCCAACACACACAGCCCAGCTCCTCACAGTCAGCTCCTCACAGCCCAGCACACACAGCCCAGCAGACACAGGTCAGCTACACCTCTGCATACTACTCCTCAGTCTGGCCTAATCCGCTGTGTCTCTACAATTCTTGAGTGTTGACACCCTGAAAACTCTCACAAGATTTTTGAAGACTAAAGATGTAAGGGTCCGGAAAGACCAGATTTTACCACACTCCAGAAAGTGAGAGTCCTGGAGATGACCCAAGCAGGGGACATTTGCCAGGGTCTGAATCCGGGTAGGCATGTGCAGGAGGGATCTGCAATTTCAGCCTCCTTCACTCTGTCTTCCCTCTCTCAGCCATAGCCACAGACTTGTGAGCAGGGAAGCCACCCATCGACCTGACCCGGCCGCAGGTGCTCGCCACAGAGGCCAGCAGGGTGCCCTGCAGGGGCATGGAGGCCTCGGGAGCTGTTCACTGCCCCCACGGCCCCACGCCGCCTGCCAGCCCCCTCTTTGCCCCACTCTCTCTCTCTGCGAGGCCAAACCTCTCGCTGCTGTCAGTAGTCCCTGAAAAGCCTGCTTCTGCCGCCTCACTGACTTGCACTGTGCTTATCTCAGACAACACTTGGCCGGGAGTCGGGGACTAAAGCCAGGGACCCTGTGCTCACCCTGTGGGCGGTGCAAAGGGTTACCTTGCCATTGTGCGAGTGTCCTGGGTCTTGTGCCACTAAAGCAGGAAGCCAGCAGCACACAGAAAACACCTGCGAGAGGCAGCTGGATGGTGAGAGTCAGCGCCCAACCTGGACTCCAACGGTGCAGCCACAGGAGGCCCTGCACCTTCCTGAGCCTGCACACCCTGCTCGCCAAGCCTACTGCGGGCGGCACACGGAGCCCCCGGCTGCGCTGCTGTTGCTCTGGGGGCCGCTGCAGAGACTGGGCTGGAGTGGCCGGGATGAAGGCTCAAACTGTGCAGGCACACATGGCAGTGTGCGTGAGCTGGAGCACTGCGCGGGCCAGGCAGAGACCTGTCTCTCTCTGGGGCTGGGATGACATCTCCAGAGACATGCACATGTGTCCAAGGAAGAGAAACCGAAGCCGGGGCCACAGCGTCCCAGGCCTGGCCGCCAGGGGCCAGGCCATGGCAACGTCGAGGGCTAGAACACAAGCCACACGAGGCGACTGGGGAAGTGGTGGAGACCTGGATCCCCACCAGCCACCCAGGGTCAGGAAGAAAGCAAGAGAAGCCCACCATGCAGAATGCAAACAGCAAGACTCCAAGCCTTTCCAGGCCTGACGTCACAGGAGACCTCTTCCTACAAAAACCCTGGGCCACCAGGGCGGCCAGTGAGGAGGGGGCTCCTGTCTGGAGAGGGGAGCTTCTCTGTCACTGCCCAGCCTCCTGCTGGACCAAGACCTGGCCCACGGGGCTCACCTGGAGCAGACGAGGGATCCCTGCAGAGGGCTGCAGCTGTCTTCCCTGAGAGAAGCCGCTGGAGCTGCAGAATCTCCAGTGAGGGGAGACAGGGGATTTTGTCAGGGTCTGTGCCACTGTGGCATATGCTAGTAGTAGTGGTTATTATATACCACAGTGACACAGCCCCGGTCCAAAAGCCCCTCCCACACACACGTGCTCTCCAGGCTGGGGGGCCCAGCATCTAGGAAGCAAGGCCCATTGGGACCCATCTCCATGCAAAACCCATTGTGCCCCTGCCCCCAGAGCCCCCACAGGGCACAGAGCAGGGGCTGTGACGGCAAAGAGGAGCAGGGGCTCCTGCACTGTGTGGTGCGAGCAGAGCCAGGCCAGCTGCTGCCCCTCGTGCACAAAGGGGATCCCAGGAAGGACGGCTGTGGGTCGGAATCTGCGATCTTGGGAGGGAGAGCCCAGAGCAGAGGCAGGAGGCGTCCTCTCGCACTGCTGTCCGCCCAGGGCCCTAATGCTGGTGCAGGCAGCACTAAAGACAGACCTGGAGGGCTGGTGCAGAACGCGGAACACAGAACCCGCAGCAGAAAAGCCTGCTGGAGGACGCTGACAGCTGGCTGCGGCCAGACCGCTTGGGCACTCAGCCCTACCTTCCTCCAGCTAGAACGCCCCAGGGAACCTCCCTGGAGTGGGGAAGGTCCATCTGGGCTGACTGCACCGACGCCCCCAGTCCAACGCTGGCAGACGGGGAGCAGAGCGAAGGTGGGTGGCTCCTACTTAACCTTCCTCAAGTCTCTGCAACCTACCCAAGCCACTCACTGCTCAAAGGCCCCACCTTGGGACCCAGTAATGGCATCAGGGCTCTACCTGGTCCATCGACACTTAGTGCAAGACTGGGCTTCAGGGACTGGAGCTGTGGAATAGTAGGTTAAGCCTCTGCCTGCAGCGCTAGAACACCACATGGGCATCAGTTCAAGTCCCAGCAGCTCCACTTCTGATGCAGCTCCCTGCGGATGGCCTAGGAAAGCAGCAGAGGATGTCCGAACTGCACCGATATGGGAGACTGGAAGAAGCTCCTGGCTCTTCACTTCGGATAGGCCCAGCTCCAGATGTTTTGGCCATATAGGGATTGAACCAACAGATGAAAATCTCTTTCTATAATTCTTCCTCTCAAATAAAAAATATTCTTAAAAAATTAAAAAAAAAACATTTCCAAAAAATACTGGGCTTCAACGTTAGCAAGAGCTTGGAAACCAAGAACCTCATGGACAGAGAAGCTGGGGCTGCCTATGTGGGGAACCCCAAACTGGAAGCAAACCAGACGTCCGCCCGAGGCAGAGCAGGTGCTACTAAATCTCACGGTGGCAGAGCAAACGTGATGGCAGCACAGGACAGTGTCACACGGAGTGGCATGGTGGCTTCACTTTCAGTGCTGGTCAAAGAAGTAAAAAACAAGTCCAACACAGACATCCACGTCGACTCCGTCCAGATCAGACTCGCTGAGGATCACATTCCAGTTGGAGAGCTGCAGGGAAGACGCGGGAACAGTGAGCTGAGCTCGGGGCTGTGGTCTTGGCAGAGGACGAGGAGGCAGGGATTTTGTGAAGGGCCAACCCACCGTGTAGCTACGATGACTATGGTGATTACCACAGTGGTGCACCCAGCACAAAAACCCTCAGGGACCTACAGCCCACAGGCTCCTGGCTGACAGCCTGAACATCTGGGAGCAGCCAGTGTGCCCCTCAGCTGAGCTCAGCCCCTCACCCTGAGCCCGTCCCTCTCACTGCCCCACACCCCCAGGGTGCCCAGCCAGAACAGGCCATAGGGTCAAGGTCTCTATCACTGTGCCTATGGGGTCCTGGTTCCCATGGCTATGGGGTCCACACTCAAAACCAGCTGCACATACAGGGGCTGAGCCCACCCCCTCCCACCAGACCCTCAACAGCTCGAAGGGCCAGAGCAGACCCCAATTGCTCAGGCTTAGAGCCCACCCCACCAGTGTCTATCCTCCCGTCCTACACCCCTCACACAGCCAGCAGCCCAGCCCCCACAAACATGATGCCCACACCAGAGGGGCAGCCCTGCCCTGGGGTGGCCTCTGAGCCCCAACTCCAGAGGACGTGGAGGACAAAGAAGGCCTGTGTTGAGCCCCTGCTCATGGGTTCCGGCGATTTGCACAGGGAGGATGGGTGTGGGTCCCAGGACCCAGTTCTCACTCCCTGCTCTTCCCTCGTCAGCCCTGCATGGGGAAGCACCAGGATCCTCAGAGGGGGTGAGCATGGTGCAGGGCTGCTTGGGGATGTGGTAGGAGCCTCCAGCTGTCAGTGCTGACATGTAAGGTGCAGGACACACTTCATCGGCTGCCCCTGCGGTGGCCTGCTGAGTAAACACCAGCGGAGGGGGCACCACGCATGACCCACTGCCCCTCCTACCCAGCCTGGCCTGGCCACTGGTCAGACACACCCACCATCTGGCCTCTCCCATGTCCCCAGTAGCCACAGGGCAGGTGCAGAGGGACACAGGTGTGGAGAGCAACCAGGGCAGCTGTGCACCCTGGAAAGGGGAGGGGGAGCTCAGCTGTGGATGCCCCCCAGGTTTCCCATCATCATCTGCAATCCACAGATCCCACCCCAATGCTTTGGGAGGACAGGAAGGAAGGAATTTTTGCAGGAACCTCTCTTTGTGGAGGGCTGCAGGCCCGGCTCCACCTCTGCACACCCTACTCGCCTGAGCCTGCACACTCTGCTCGCCAAGCTTGCTGCAAGAGGCCCTCAGTGAGGCCTCCCTGTGGCCAGTTGCAGCTGCTGACCCCTGGCAGACTGGGGACTCCACACTGCAGGAGGCTCCTGGCCGGAAGCTCTGAGAGACAGCCAAGCAGGTGTGGGCCCTCTGGTCTGGGGGAGCCGGTGCTCCCAGCCTGAGAGCATGCATGGGGCAGCTGCCTCTGCAGCTATGACCCCACTCCCACGGACACTCCCACACACAGTGCCAAGAGCTCCTGAGGAGGTCACTTGCCCAGGGAGTGGAAGCTTCTAAGCTCCGGGGGAAAAGCCCAGGGCTGAGGGGTCCCTGTCTGCTCGTGCCTGTGTCACTGCAGCACAGCAACAGCTGGTCCCGCTCAGCACACTTGAGGCAGCATCCCCAGTGCCAGGAGACATCTGGGATCTGGAAGCAGCACCCGCCACTGAGGCTCTGAGTGCTCAGATGGCAGGGGCAGCCCCCGTCCACCTCTCCCAGGCAACGGGCTCCAAAGCATGAAGACCAGAGACCTCAGCTCTGCACCGGGCTGCAGGGGAATTTGTGCTGGTCTGAGACACCGTGGTTACTATAGTAGTGGCTGGGGTGCACAGTGCCTCAGGCCACACATAAAACTTGAGCCATGGCCACCCAGAGCCCAGATTGGTGGACCAGCCCCACAAAGAGGAGACCCCGCCCAGTAGCCTGCCCTTCTCTGAAGAGGCCCCAATGCCCTAAACAGATTCTGAGATTCTGAGTGGCCCGGATCACAGTGGGTATAACTGGAACTACCACTGTGGGCAATGCTGTGTCCCAAGCTGCCTCCACAGCCACCCAGGCCCAGCACAGCCCACGCCCTGCCCGGTCCCTGCGTATCTCCCACAGCTCAGACCCTCTGGGTGTTCGCATTTCCTAGTGAGGATGAGGTGAGTGCAGGAGTCTTGGGTCCCACAGTTGAGAGGGCTACCCTTACCCACCCCAGCCAGAACTGACCCCTCAGGAGGTGTCCCTCAGGGAGACAGCAGTGGCCAGGGGAAGCAGGCATGACCCCCATGACAACCACAGCCAACTGCAGGAGCAGACACCCCAACCCTGGAGAAGTGACAGATTCTGCCCATGAGCCCATAGTAACCTGGACCCCTCCAGTATCTACCTCAATCAGGGTGGGAGCTGGGAACTCATGGGGAGCTGGTGGAACACAGGACTTTCCAGAATGTCAGGTCAACAAAAGCCAGGCACCAGAGAACAGAGCCCTCTGACAGGCTGCCCACCAGCCCTTAGCCCCAGCCCCGAGCACCTAGGTTGAGGCAACACCATAAGGATGGGGCCCCAGAGCAGCAGCCAGAGCCCGGGCCCCTCAACATGGGGGTCCTCCAGGGCGGTCCTCTATAGAGGGCCCCATGGTGTCCCCCACCCCATTACCTAAGCCACTTGCAACTGCCAAGCCTACCCGGACAGACAGAGAGAGTCTGGGCTGGGGACTTCAGAGGCACCTCAGAAACCAGCACAAGCCTTCCCGTCCCCGACCCAAACCCGTGCCCACCTGTGTGGGTCACTCACCTCCCTTCCTGGGTGAAGAGGCCTTGCACCTGTATCCCAGGGCCAACGCAAGTCACAGATGGGGGTAGTGGACCCAAGGGCAGCCCTGACCTCCGCCCTAGACTCCCTGGCCCCAGCTGCCCGCTGTCCCGGAGACCAGGGACTCTGCATTTCCAGAGCTTCAGGGCAGGGCCCAGCCTCCAGGGCCACCCCCTCCGCCTCCCCCCCCCCATGCCAAGGTCAGGAAGAGCCAGGGAACAGCTCTGCACGAAACAGGCTTCCTGCCAGGGGCTCTGGCTCTCCCAGCCTGCAGTTTCTCCTTCCTTCCTTCGGGGTAACGGCCAGAGCTCCCCTCACGCACCCCTCCTCCACCCAGCTGCAGCCTCAGCGTGCCTGGCTCGGGCCCAGCGCTGTGCAGAGAGGAAGGGCAGGACGGACACAGCACAGGCAGCTGGGACCCAGAACGCGCGCTCAGACAGCCTTCTAGGGGTCTCTCTCGATGCCCAGAATTGCCCTGGACAAGGAATCTAATGCCCACTGCAGGTCCTAGTCTCACCCAGAGATAAAATTCTGAGACATAGTAGCATGTCCAGATAAGAACACCATTCATTTATTCAAAGTGAGATAGAAAATATGGGAGCGAGGTCTGGACCCAGTAGATGAGTGTGGTCTGCCCCAACCTAATTGGAGACAAAAAAAAAAAACACTTCAGGAAGAGCAGTAGGAAAAAAAAAAAAAAAGAAGAAAAATTAAAAATAAGACATCACAAAAGTGCAGTGCAGTGGTGGGGTTGGCGCTGTGACATAGCTGGTAAAACTGAGCCTGCAGTGCCGGCATCCCATACGGGTTCCAGTACAAGTCCTGGTTGCTCCACTTCTGGTCCAGCTCTCTGCTATAGCATGGGAAAGCAGTAGAAGATGGCCCAAGTCCTTAGGCCCCTACCCCCACATGGGGGACGCGACTTAGGATCGGTGCAGTTCCGGTACTAGCAGCCAACTGGGGAGTGAACCAGGGGATAGAAGACCTCTCTCTCTCTCATTCTCTCTTTCTCTGTAACTCTGCCTTTAAAATGAATAAATAAATTTTTTTTAAAAAAAAACGTGCAGGGGAGAGAGGAAAATTGTGACAGAATTAAAGAGATGAAACAGATACTGCCGGCCAGGAGGAGAGAAGCAACAAAGTATGGCTCCGGCCTGGGCACTGGCATCCCATAGACAGGTGCCACTTGCAGTCCTGGCTGCTCCACCTCTGATCCAGCTCCTGCTGATGTCCTGGGAAAGCAGTGCAGGACGTCCCAACTGCTTGAGCCACTGCATCCACATAGGAGACCCAGAAGGATTTCCTGGCCCCTGACTTCAGATCAGCCCAGCTCTGGCCCTAAAGGCCATCTGGGGACTGAACCAGTAAATGGAAGATTTCACTCTCTCTGTGTGTGTCTCTACCTCTCTGTCTGTAACAATACTCTCAAACAATTAGGTCAACCATTTATAAAATTAAAAAATAAAATATTTCCAAAAAATACTGAGGTTCAAACATTAGCAAGAACTTGGGAGCCAAGAACCTCATGGACAGAGAAGCTGGGGCTGCCTATGTGGGGAACCCCAAACTGGAAGCAAACCAGACGTCCGCCCGAGGCAGAGCAGGTGCTACTAAGTCTCACGGTGGCAGAGCAAACGTGATGGCAGCACAGGACAGTGTCACACGGAGTGGCATGGTGGCTTCACTTTCAGTGCTGGTCAAAGAAGTAAAAAACAAGTCCAACACAGACATCCACGTCGACTCCGTCCAGATCAGACTCGCTGAGGATCACATTCCCAGTTGGAGAGCTGCAGGAAAGACGCGGGAACAGTGAGCTGAGCTCGGGCTGTGGTCTTGGCAGAGGACGAGGAGGCAGGGATTTTGTGAAGAGCCGACCCACCGTGTAGCTACGATGACTATGGTGATTACCACAGTGGTGCACCCAGCACAAAAACCCTCAGGGACCTA